CAATTATATAAGTCTACAAACAGATATCACACATAAAAATCCTGATGATGATGAAGCTAAATGTTGGGTTTAATTGTCTGTAGAACAAATGAAATGTTTTGAATAAAAAAGGGTCGACTCATATCTCCAATCAGGCAACAAAGTATGGATCTCATTTACAGTGACAGAGTTTTTCCCTTCCTTCCTCCCCCTCCTTTGTACATAAAATATAATTACCATTATATAAACAATCATATATCTGTCTATACACACACATTTATATACCTAAATAAGTATATACAAAGGAGGGGGAGAAAAAAAACCCCAAACAACCCCCCCCCGCCCAGACCAATGTGTATAATCTTGGAGCAGGTATGGGAGGAGGCCATCCCTCGCAGTTTACTTATTAAAGTGATCTATAAAGGCCAGATTAGGTAAAACAGTTTAACATGATCTCTCAATGAAAACTTTTCTCCAACTGTAAATGATACATTGTGTCTCTTAACAAAGCAGAGTGAGTTGGGGGGGCTTTATTTTTCCAGTTTAGAAGTATAAGGCGTCTTGCAAGCAATGTTATAAAACTCAGAGCACGAATTTGTTTATTATTTAAGTCTTTAACTGTAGCTACACCAAAAAGTGCCATCACTGGGTCTGTGGGGAGCTGTTTTTTAAAAATATCAGACAAAGTTTTAAATATTTTTGACCAGTAGGTGGCGATATTAGGACATGTCCAAAACATATGACAACGAGGCAGAATTCTGGCCACATCGATCACAGCTTGACTCAGCCCCTGGAAACATCCTTGAGACCTTCAGTTTAGACACATGGAGCCTGTGCAGGATCTTAAATTGTAGTAGTGCCTGCAGCAGACAGAAGTGAGTGAACCAGTTCTTGTGCCTTAGTCCATTGATCTTCAGTGATGTTAGCCAGTTCTTCACTCCAAGCATTTCTCAAATGGTCCAGTGTAGTTATTCTGTCTATTTGCAAAAGTTGGTTGTAGATCCTGGAAATAGCTCCTTTCTTTAGCGGGTTCATCAGGAATGAAACTAGCTTTTGTGGTTCATTGGGAAAGGATGGAAACGTTTCTTTAATAAAATGACGTATTTGTAAATACTTGAAAAAATCTGTTTTCTATGGAAAATTTTTGCTGAAGTTGTTGAAACAAAGGAAAAAGATTATCAATAAACAGATCCTTGGTTGTGTGTATCCCTTTGGAAGTCCATAGCTGGAAGGTTGATCCTGAGAACAATGTGTGTGCTTGATTATGAATTAATGGTGTAAAGATTGACTAACGCCAATGAAAATGCTTTCTAATCTGAGACCAAATTTTTAGTGAGTCAGACACTACCAGATTTTTACATTTATGCTCACTCAGATCTGAGTCTGAATGAACCAAAGATTTAAGAGTATTAGAGAAAAAAGTCTAAAGTCTAAAACTTTCCATCCGTTCCCAATCAGGTCTATGTTCCCCGCCCCAGAATGACATACAGCGTATGTTACAGGCCCAATAATAAAACTGAAAACAAGGCAACCCCATTCCTCCTGTAATCTTGGATCTTTGGAGAAATATCTTTTTTATTCTGGGTGTCTTCTTGTTCCAGATAAACTGAGAAATTAACTGGTCTATTTTCTTAAAAAAGGTTTTTGTGATCAATATTGGGATACTTTGAATCAAAAATAAAAAATTGGGTAACGTGCTCATCCTAATGATATTTATTCGGCCAGCAAGCGAGATGGGCAGTTTGGACAGTCTTTCCAAGTTCTGTTCAGTTTGATGGTATAAATGAATAAAATTATGTTTGAAAAGGCCAGAGAATTCGCAGGTTACAGTTATTATACAATTATTATTTATTCCAAGATATT